AGCTGTGAGAATGCGGCTCGCAACCGTCTAACCAGCCAGTCAGTCAATCTCGTTAGCTCAGAAGTGCAACAATTTCTCATACTACCAAACGCCTAGCCTCGCAGCAAACCCCTCAAATAAATAGAATCCCACAAGGCGCCTGTTGGTGCGTCTGCCTGCGGCCAGTGCTTGAACGTATTTTAAACGAACATAAACATACTCATTATTTTCTTTGATTTGATGCAAATATCATGGCTGACCCACCGAAGAAACTGACATTTGGTTTTTCAAAAGTTGTGAAAAAGTCCAATTTAGTTTCGCTTCCCCAAGCAGTCCCAGAGAAACCTAAGGATGTCCAATTTATTGAATGTCTGGAAGCAAACACAATCAAACTCAGGGAGTAAGTTTGGTCCTGGATAATCTTCTTTCGAATCAGTAATTTTCAACCCTGTTTTTAGTATTTTTATTTATTTAACATGAGGAAATCTTGAGATTTCATCAACCATTTTAAATGATTTCAAAAGTGTGTTGATTATTCACTCAGTGTTCACTGTTCCAAAATTACTTCGTTTCTCTACAAAAGTGTTGCATGTGACATGCATTTTCTCTTTTTTACGTTCTTTAAGTTTTCACCATACTAATTGTTATTGTGTTCTTTTACTTACAGAGGTGAGGAGGAAAAGAAAGACGAAGCACCCCTTGTCATTCCGATTGTTGGACCTCGTAAAAGTAGTACCCTTCCAAACGGAAGAAGTATAGCAGAAGTTGCGGAAGATTTTAGTGATGTAGGCAATAATGGAACTAATAATGCACCGGAGGCTGCCAGTGATAGTCTACCTGCCAATTCTTTAGATGCCATTGCTGCCCGTGAACTCTTACAAGGTAAGTTCTTTTATTTACAAACCTATCAAGGGGAATTTACAATCGGAACGCAGCGATCGTATCTTTAACGCTAGCGTAGTGGTCAGAACAGGGTGAGAGGGAGTGGAAGAGGACTTAACCAGTGTTGTTTTAATGCTAGCAGCAGAACTACGCTTGCTGCATTGCTATTGTAAATCCACCTTAATTGTAAGAGAATCTTTTATTGTGGTGTACTTCAGAATCTCTTCTGTATTTGTAGAGGGAGCCAATGCTTTGAAAGAAGCACCAGTTCCAACATTGGAATCTTTGCCTAGTGCTGAGAAAGAAGCTCTACAAAAAGAGGTCAGTAACATTGAAATGTTGTCTGTATTTCAATAATTGAAATTATATCTAATTTTTTTGGTGATTGTATATAGTCTACCCTTGAGGATTATGAAAACATACCTGTCAACCAGTTTGGGCTAGCTATGCTCAGAGGTATGGGCTGGAAGCCTGATGAAGGAATAGGAAAAAATAAAAAGTAAGTGTCATTTTGAAGCATTTTAAAATCTAAAATATCCAAATAGCACATTGATTTATCAATTTTTGTTTAAGATTGGTGCCTGTGACTGCTCCCAATGTTCGACCAAAGGGTATGGGTTTGGGAGCAGACAAAGTTCTACTTGCATCTGCTAAAGCCGCTAAAGCATCTACCAACTCTAAGGATGAGGAAGAATTACGTATGGCTAAAGGTGCATATGTTAAAATCTTGGCAGGAATGAACAAAAATATGTATGGCCAGGTAAGCAAAACAAGCACATTTCAAATTTTACTGTATCAATCAAAACAGAGAATTTCATGACTGGCTTCTATATTTTTGTTACAGGTTGAAGGTTTCACTGATGATTCTGGACGTGTTTTGCTGAAAATGGCCATAGGTGGACGAGTAATATCTGTCAATGAAGGAACTGTTATTCTTGTTTCTAAAAAGGAATACAGTGATAATGGAAGAGTTCTCAGTAAGTTCTGTTTTGTCTTACAATTGAATAGAGTCAACCTCTTGATTGCAGTAATAATACTGACTTTGACAACAACACTATTTTTAAGGCACCTTACCCCAATAATTGGTTTTATTATATTTTTTTTCTAATTTTAGATGCTGCTAAGTATCAAGAATACAAAAGAAATGAAGAGGCAGGACTAGACCCAATGAAAATAAAGAAGGAAACCTCTCCATCTGACGAAAAACCTAGACAGCAATCTACAAGTTCATCAAAGACTTCTAAAAGCTCAAATTCTAAAAGCGGAAACTTCAAGAAAGAAAAGTATCGTGAGCACTCCCCTAAAAGAGAAAAGGGGTCTTTAAGTCCCAGGCGGAGAAAAGAAGAATCAACTTCCAGAAGCAGGTCTAAAACACCCCAAAAATATGTCCAAAAAAAGCCCAGTAGTAGAGGACATAGAGACAGATCTATTTCACCCTCTTTCAGAAGGAAAACAAGTCCTACTCATGGAGACAAAAAAAAGACATCATCTGCTAGAAACAGAAGTCAATCTAGTTCACCAGAAAGAAACTCAAGGCATCAATCTCCTAGCTCCAGGAGGAGTAGAAGTCACAGCAGGTCTGTTTCTAGAGAAAAAAGTAGATACTCAGAATACAAGAAAAAGTATGATGACTCTGATAGTGAATCTAAATCGCGCAAGAAAAAAAAGAAAAAACAGAAAGAAAGGAAGCACTCTTCATCTGACGACAGTTCAAGATCAAGGTCTAGGTCTCCTAAGAGAAGGAATAAAAGCAAGAAGCACAGAAAAAGTCGTTCAAGATCCCCTAGTAGCAGAACACGCAGATAAAACCACTTAATGCCCAAGACTGGTAAGTAAACCAATGTTTTGACCTAATTTTATAAAAGAAAGGAAAAAATCTACGATTCTATGTATGCAGCTTTATTTGTAAGTAGTAAAAATATATTTTCTATACATCAGAAACAGGCAGTTCAGGTTCATATCTTATTTTTATACATTTCATTGAATAATAACAAATCTATCGAGAAAACTCAGTCAGTCCGCAAAACATTCTAGTGAACCTCATTCACATTAGTAGTTTACAAATTTTACCGAAAAGTTCTCAAACAATTTTTAAATGAGTATGGTTCTCTATATGTGCCAGTAGTTTTTTTTATGTTTTTACTATTATGTAATTTATTTTATTTTTTAAGTTGACTGGCTCAATTGATAAGTATAAAGCTAAGATAGATACAATTTTATATGTATAAAATAAAGTAATAAAAAAAATGTTTTTGGAGTTTAAAACCACACAATTCATTCTTGACAGAAATATTCTGTTCTTTTCCTTAGCTCTATGAGAGTATTGTAGAAATGAATGCTTTTAGTTATTTCTATACTAGTTTCAAGCAGTCATATCACAAAGTTCATCTGCTGCACAGCCATTTAAAACAAACGCCCTACAATACTCTGATGGTCTTGACAGGAACTATTTTTAGTTGCTCCATTTCCATGTGCTCTCAACTGATAGGCCCACTGGTAAATTTAATTTGACTTTGCACATGGCTCACTGCCATTCTTTCCTTTCTTAAGTAGGCGTTTTTGCACTAAGCTTAGTAGCTCAATAACAAATTTAGGTAGCAAAAATGCCATCTATGCTGAGATTTAGCCAATGTATGGCACAATTGTATCATAGAAGCATGTACAGGAACAAAGAAGTATGTATCATCACCACATGAAAATATACATTTGAGCAGGGAAATAATATTAGCAATCTATTCTGATGGCTCACAGCAATACTGATATGTATCTTTTCCATTTACCGACTCAATAGATTTCCTTCTTTACCTGGGTTATATAAACCACATTTTCTTAAGAGAAAGGGAAAAAAAGGGTTTCACTTGGAGTTAAAAAAAATTAAAAATTGTCTAAAAATCTGATAACCTGCAGACTAGCAGAGCCTCATAGAAAAAATCTATCACAAACATTTGTCTATTAAGAACACAGGACGGATAAAATAGAGAACTGTTAACATTGAGATTCAGAATGTAGTAATTCTAAGATTACTAGTAAAACTTATTGTAGTGCCTAATTACTAATTACCTTATTTTATTTCTTTGAACGTATCTGGAAAACAAGGATGCTAATGACTTGTCTTCTGCAGTTCAGATTTCAATTAGGGTATCACATTTTCTCAACTGGTGGATTGGTCCAGGTTCTTTGGATTACACGGCAATACTTTCCAAAATATGTACTTGCCATGTGAAGTTGTAAATAACCAAGAATATGCTCTAGTATAACAATATCTCACAATATCATCTCTTACTACTGAATGTCCCATCAATAACTTTCAAATTAAAATGGGAATGCACTATCTTTCATATATGTTGCAGCCTTTTAGTTCACAACTCAATTATCATAATTTAGGTATTGTTTTGGTACAGCTATCAAATTATTCTTATTTGTTTATGTAATTATTGTCTGTGAGAGAATCACCACTTGCCAAGCTCCTTCTGTTGAGGTTGAAGCATGCTTTCTCTCTCAGGAGGTAAATCTTCGGCATGCCCAATGTGCTGACTTCCTCCATTCTGCGAGAGAAGTTGATGGCCAGCAGATGATTGTCCTCTGTCCTTACCAATATCTACATCTATGGAGAGCTCTACCCCTGCAAGCAAATGGAGTTTTATAACCAAGCACCTAATAGTGAAACCTGGATAGTAAGATTTGGGATAGTAGGAATATGTCTTTATAAAGTAACTTTCCGGAGGAGCCAATTCAAATTTGTCATTTCACCTAGAATACCTTGATATGACATAATAAGACCTCGGTCTCTAGGGATTCTTAATATTCAGGTTACACTTGACTGTATTTTTGATCATTGTGAGCACATGCAGTTACCTTCAACAGCACTGATACAATGTCCATTTTGCACTGTAATGGACTTTGGAAGAGAAGGATATCCATCAGTATCTGTGTGGAGGTCTGGTTGTGAGAAAGATGGAGGCCCAAACCAACTTAGCACCACAGGAAGAAAGAACAGGCCATGGAAACATCCGAACACTACCACACTTGTGAATAACTGAAACCACACGTTAAACAAAGTGTTTTAACTGCAACTATTTTTATCTGAAAGAAAAACTTTTAAATATAAACTTACTTTGAAGAATGTTGTGAATATGTAGGCATCACTGAATCCAAGTAGAACAAAGGCAAGGAAAGTACTCAATCCTCCATTGAAGACGGCAGGTCCCATTAGTCGCAAAGCAGCTGTTGCCCTCTCTAGATTAAGCCAAAATAAACGGTAAGAGACATTTTTTTGCTGCTATTTGTGCATTTACATTTTTCCAAAACATACCATTTCCAGTTCCAGTCATACGACTGAATTCATATCCAATGTGAGCTGCATAATCCACAGTCAACCCAGTACAAAGCAGCACCATAATGGATGTGGAGACCTCAATGGTTAGGCCATAGAGATACATTGAGCCCACTAAATCCACAAGAGTAAAAATAACACAGCTGATAACCCAAAATGTCACTTGTAGTTCTTGTATTAAGAGTAAAGTGACTATAGCCACGGCTAAGACTGAAAGACCTAAGTTTCGTAAAAGTTCTTCTCCAACAAGCTGAACAAAACAACACAAACATGCCATTAGAATACAATTATAAATAAACAAGACATTAACATTTAATTATTCAGAAAACATACCTTGTTGGTGTACCATGGGATGAAGTCAGGTGAATAGGCTACTGCGTATTTGTCAGCTGTTAAATTAAGGGATTGCAACACATCATATACGGTTGACATTGCAGCTAGTTGTTGTTGACTTGTATTCAGTGGTATATATTGGATTGGTAGATGTGTTGTCTGTTTCAAAAAGTTATTAAAGGGTTTATAGTAGTGCTTTCGCGATATTTGAAAAATAATTTTCTCAGAGTTATTTGCTTACTGTAATATTGTAGTCTCCAAACGGAAAAGAGCTAAACTTCAAATCTTTAAGATGCTCCTGACCTTCCTTAGTAAAAATAAGAAATTCAGACAGGTAACCCTTGTAGTCATCTTCACCCTCTGGCTCTGAAATTAAAGAAGATTATGGTTGACATTAATGAGCTAGAGGGAGCAGACTGACAGACCCTGTAAATATCAGAAGTTTACCATGATTCTTATCCTTCAACCATTTTCCAAATTCCTCATACCAAATTATCATTGAGTCTTGATTCAGATATGGATTTTCCCTTAATTTTTTGGATAGGTAATGCATTTTTTGGGCATCCTCAAAGTAACTCACATTAGCTGAAGTAACATAAGAAAATATGTTAAAGTCAAATTATATTTAAGAAAAAGAAAACAAACGTTTGTTATAGTAGCTGTACTAACTTAAATAGATTCCAGCACGTTTTCCATACTTTGGAAAATACTCATTCAGTTTGTCATAAAACTGTATTGGGTATGATGATTCGTCAAGATACCAAGTCATATCAAACATTTGTTCTATCTGAAGAATACACCATGTGTTGAAACTTACAAGCACCAGTGTGATCACAATCACAAGTATCTGTGAAACATATGCACCAAATAGTTTTAGAAATAACAAAACTTGACATACTTTTTATGATGAAGTGCAACTTTGCTTCTTACCTTAACCGGTGTTTTCATCAACCCTGGAGCAATATACTTTGAAAAAAAATCAAACATGTAATTTCTTTGACTGATTGCATTTGGTTTCCATTCTCTAAGCTTCATGAAGCAGCATCCCTCCCTCTTGGCTGCCACTCTGTATTCATCTAAAGTGAGGCATCCCACAAAGAATGTCACTTCAAAGATGAAGAGGAAGAAAACACCAGATGCAGCAAACATGCAGAATGATTGTAAAAATGGCATTTGCTGAAAGGTAACAACAAATTTTCATTGAGCTTTTTCAGAAAATAATTTTTTTAAGAGTACTAACAAGCACTTATAAATTGAACTTACAGTCGTCATACCAATAGCAAATGCAACAATATCAGTAAGTGAAGTAACTGTAATGGATATTCCTGCAGTTTGTACAGCTCTCGCTATTCTCTCTGGTATGTCTAAATTACTGTGCTCTTTAGTCACATGGTCAAGACTCTGTAATAATGATAATAATATTGTGTATTAAGAATAAGACATTGAACAAAAGAAGAAAAAAATAATTAAAGAATGAAGAAAATACTAACATCAACAATGACAAACATGTCATCTACACCAATCCCAAGCAGGAGGAATGGAAGGATGGGGTGAACTGGGCCAAAGAAAAAACCCAAATGGAAGCAAAATCCATATGAGGCCAGAATGGTAAGGCCAACTATTGAGACCCCCAACAATGACAAGTAAATCTGAAACACAAAAAATTACAATCAAATTTTTTTAACATAACTCATTAGAGAAATTGTGAGAGGAAACAATCAGGCATACCCGTTGTTGAATTAGGTTGCATCTTCCCAACATAAGAATCACATAGAGAATAATAAGTGTAAACCCAGCAAACAGTACTGTCATGTTACTGTCTAAAACATTGTCGAGCATGTCATTATAGCTGGTGAGCAAAAGGGGGGAAAAATCAAATTATTTATCTTTAAGGTATTCTATTTTAACTCAACGTCAAAGAATGAATTGGGCACAATACCTTCTTTTTGCAACTGCATAAACATTCACTCCCTTAGGCTTAGTCCTATTGGTATTGAGCACTCTGTTTAGGAATTCCCTTTCCCAGTCAGGGCCAGTTTTGTTTGACTGAAATAGTTAAGCAGATTGTAAGCACACACAAAATATTTCAAGATATTCCAAAATCTTTACTGCAATTCCTCGCCAATTTACCTCCTGTAACAGCCAGTTGAAAATTACTGCCTTTGCTGATACAACTTTTCCTTTGGCATCGGTTTTTACTCCAGCTAGCAATGATGATACATCTGTGAGGACACTTTTGCTGTAACAAGAACAAAATAATTGTTTTACTTAACAATTTTTGTGGGATGCTCTCTTTATCATCTTCTCCTCACAAAAAGAAGAAGATGAAAATAAGACTGTGTGCAGACTGAGTACACACTTCATTTGCTCAGGGTCGGTATGGTAATAGGCGTAACGACACTCTTGACAGGTGCGGAACCAGATGCCCAAAGGGAGAGAGGGGAAAGGGTGGGGGGGCTGCTTGGCTGCATCGGGACGAAGAGGAGAGTAGAGGGGTTCCGAAACGAGGGATTGGGGGAGGGTGAGAGGATTGTGCCATTGATCGCGGGGAAGGGGCAGAGCGGCAGGCGGCGGCGGCGGTGGCTAGCGCAGCGGTGCCCACCACGGCGCCGGCGGCGCCCGGCGCAACGTGGCGCGGCGGCCCTGGCTCCTCGGTACACGCGAACCCGTCCGCCAGGCCTCCATGCTGGCTGCTGGCGCTGCTGGCACGTCAGTGCACAGGTGCAAGTGGACTCGGCTCGGCCCCTCGCCCGTGACGTCACACCGTCACGGGCCCGCGGAGCTACGCGGAGCAGGGGGCCCGGGCCAGGTATAGACACACACATACGCGCGCTATCTCGCTGCCAGACCGCAGCCCGGGCTGGCCGGCAGGTCAAAGCCACATCAGCACAGCAGTATCATTATGATGATGACGATGATGATGCCTTCCTTCGAAGGCCAAGCACGCCCCGAAACGCGTGACAAAGTCCAAGACAAGTTCTCAGTGCGAAAAGTCCCCCGCCCCCCGCTCCCTTTAAAAAACAAACAACAAAAAAACCAGTGACATATGAATGGTTTCCCATCCTATAGACACCCACTTCCTGTCATTTTCAGGCCGATCGAATAATGTATTTTTTTTACAGAAGTATGTGAGGGGGGGAGGGGGGAGGGTGCTGACGGACGTTCCCGAACACGCGAGCGATACACGACATGTCACCGTCATGCCACACGCGGACTTCGTACCTGGAGCGCATGCCCTTGTTGACGACCCTCTGCACGTCGGCCAGGGTCAGGTTGGCGGGCAGCCCGTTGGGCCACAGCTTGAGCAGGCTCTGGTACACGCAGTCGTTCCGCATCAGCCCGGCCTGCTGCAGGACCCTCTTGAAGTCCTCCGGGAGCTCGGGGATGCCCGCCGGCCCCGGCTGCTTGCCGGCGGCGCCCTGCTGCTGCCCCGGCCCGGCCGTGGTCATCGTGTCCTGGAACCACGACGAGTACCTGCTCGAGGGTGGAGTGGTCGTGTTAGACAAATCTTCTGTCGAATGAGGTAACAAACAGGCTCAGCATACGCACCTGACGCAGACGTCCTCCCATCCCTGCCCGTCAGCCGCCACGGTCGCTTTGATGTCACGCTCCACGTCCGCTATCTGCCGGCGGGGCGCCCGAAAAAGAAAAGGAAATCGTACCGATTTGAGTTAATAGGGTGTAAATGACTCACCGAACGACCAAAGTCGTGTCGCCAGACCGGTGTAACGAGTCAGCCGTTTAGCACGAGTGCGCCTGTGACCCCTCACCTACCTCACCCCCGAGGGGCCTCACCCCGAACCAGGCTGTTTACCAGCGCGGATGAGTGTGAGCAACGTTCAGCGAACGCAACTGTAAACGGCGCAATTGTCTGTCCCATCTCGCGGCCCCCGCTCGTCGTCGCCTCAGTTTGCACACTCACTAAATCAAATCACATACGCACGCCCACACACACTGTCGCACACGCACGGGGGGACCCCTTGGCAACAGAGTCGAGTAGGGCCGTAACTGCGTCTACGGGCGTCTCCAGTTGCGTGGCTGTCACTTGTGAGGCTGCAAACAGGACAGGGGTCACCCGTCTGCGAGGGGAATAATCCTCATCCTCAGTGACGGACTGGGGGGTCAGGGGCCCGGTCGCCGGGCCCCCCTTCGGGGGGCCCGGTGCACTGTGGGTTGCCTACCTCGCCGGAGTTTATCGAACCGAAGTTATAAAAGTTGCCTACCCACAAGGGGCAATTATTATAATTTTTCAATTTTTGTCATTTGAAAATTAAACTACACTGAATCTACCCAAAATAATGAAAATATTGGCAAGGCAGTCCGCTTAAGCGAGTCTTTGTTGTTGAAACAGTCAATAAGGTTGGAAAGGTAAATGCTAAATTCGTGAGCGAAGCGAGCGAAATTTTTGAGCGATAAAAATTGTGAATTTTATATTAGTTTATTGCGAGAAACAATATAGGCCGATCCAGTGCATTAAACTCCTTTACAGATGCAGATGGACTTATGGCATTAGTAATATGCTATACTACTTTAAAGACAGTTCAGTCTGAGTCGAAGTAAAAAATGAAAACACAATGTATCAACTCGCGAGCGAAGCGAGCGCGAAGCCGGAGCGAAACCGTTGTATTTTGCATTTTGGATTAATTTTAGAAGGGTTCTTTCAGGTTACCTTCACTAATTTCTTATCATATTAGGGATCGTACGCAAACCACGTGACGCATTTTGGGGGAGGGAGGGGTCTGTGAAAACACCACTCACCACCACTAGGGGGGAGGGGGGTGTTTCGGCCAAGTCACGTGACTATTAATTACATGCTAAAATAAGCATATTTTTGAGAAAGACTAGCACAAATCCGTTTATTTCGTGATAAATCACTAAAATCTGCCGGTGTTTAATCAAAAAGTCACCACGAAATTAAGTTTTGACTACCAGCAAACATACACTTTTTATTAAAATGCTCTATATAGTCGTAAATACGTCAAATAACACATATGCTGAAAACCACGTGAATATGGAGGGGGGAGGGGGGGGTCCCCGAAACCACCACAGACCACCACAGAGGGGGAGGGGGGTGGTCAAAACCCACCAAAAACCCGTCACGTGGTTTGCGTACGATCCCTTAGAATGCCCCCCCTTCTCGACGAGCCTGCCAGCTATCGAATTTAGCCAATCAAACATAATTGTTCCCCACAAAAAAGTCATTTTTTCACGTGCGCTCCCTTCCCCTGACCTGCCAGAGTTTTACGCTCACGTTGGCGTGAGCGTGAGTTCCTGATTGAACATAGCTCTAGTCTGGTCTGGTCGAATGTCTCAGATCTTCAATAATAAGGGTAGGGGGGCAGTGGTAATTTAAATAAAATACCGTGCATATGCAACCTTACTGTCTGTTCTATTTACTGCTGTGATGCTACATTGACAGCCTGATTGTGACTAGCCTTTGTCACCTGTGACAACGGGGCCCTCCGGGACCCAGAGGGGGCCCGGATCGGGCCCCCAGGGGGGCCCGGGCCCCCTAAAATCGGGGGGGCCCGGTCGCCGTTTTGGCGACCACCGCACCCGGGCCAGTCCGCCACTGCTCATCCTCATCCCGATGATCCCAACGATGATCCCCCGCCGTCTGCCGGTCCCCGTCTGGCCGGCCGGGCCGCGGGCCGCCAGCTGTCTCGCAGAACACTCTCCTGCCCCGGGATTGCATTGACCGAGATTTAAGGAGCCGCGGAACAAACGCGTGACAAGGTTACAAAAGGACTTCCACGCCGCGGGTTGTGAGCAACCGCCTCCGTCCCTCCCTCCGTCCCTCCGTCCCTCCCTCCGTCCCTCCCTCCCTCCCTCCCCGCCGTCTGTCCCTCCTGACGGCACAGGCAGAAGGGCCGAGCGCCGAGCCTCGTGTCGTAGACAAGTCTCTTTCATCTGACTATCAACACATCATTCATGAGTAGGTTCGTCGAAACGGATAGGGCCGGAAGTGCCTCGGTCAGCGCCGGCCCAGGCTGCCTGTCGTTTTCAACAGTTTGGCGCCTGCGGGGCTTAGGGTAGGCCACCCCGCTGTACGCGTATGCACTGTAGGCAAGATGCTGCCTACCTAGCAGGCGCTATGGCAGCTTGCACAGGCAGGTTGAACTTGGTTGGTTCGTTGGTTTGTAAGGGTGGATGACGGATGTGCTTACTGCCTTACGGACTCCAGTGATCGTCCTGGTCCTTAAGGACCCCGCAGTATGAGAAAGACGCCTAACATCGACGTCAAATAATTGAATTTCTTACCGTCCTCAGGACGTCCGGCTCCAGGACGTTACGCGCCTCCACGATGACGCTCTCGTAGCGGATGTCCTCGCGGAAGTTGGCGTCGACGAATTCGGCGGCCTTGCGCACAGGCGAGTCGATGGGCATGTAGAGGTCCAGGTCGGACTGGCCGGCGCGCCAGCTGAGCAGGCCGGAGCCGCAGAGGGCGGCCAGCAGCAGCGACAGCACGCAGGTGAGCAGGGGGCGCCGGCCGATGCACAAGCCCAGCCTGCAATCAAGGATCGGTGGTGAGTGCCAGTCACGCACACAATGGAATGTGGCGGATGTGTCACAAATGGCACGCAGGCGAGCAGGAGGCGCCGCCCAACCCCCTTCAGCCTGGGCCCATAAGGGTTGGGGACTGACACTCAAAGAAGAATGTGACGAGTTTGTCACAAATGGTTGATGGAGTATAGATATCGGGAGGCCGTCGTGACGAGGGAGCAGCGGTATGTAGTGTCGTAGAATTCCCGGGGGTGATCCTTAAAAATTATCATTGCAGGTTCGTTCAAAAGAGCCCAGCGCGGCCTACTATTCGCGACTGCAGCGACGCCACCGGCGCCCCTGTCGCGTCCATTTCACGGACATGTCATCCTGACGTGGTCGGTACGAATTACCCCACTTAAGAGCACACTAGCCGCGCCGTCACCGCGGCACGCCAAGTCGCGCCGAGGGGCTCATGGCCCCGGCTCGTCCGGTGGATCGCTCGCCCTCCCCGGCCGCGGCCGCCCGGCCGCCTGGAAGGAACAATTACAGTGTTGCCGAGCGCCCGAAGGAGATTTTCGCGATTGCCAGGAGGCAGGACTTTAGCCAGGCTATACGCGTACGCGTCCGAGGCGAGCAGCGGACGCTCGCGTGACCTTCAACTCGGACTGGTGGACCACCTCCACCCGTCACCCAGTACCAGGCCGATGAGGATGCTGGCAATTCCGTCACATTGCAGTTAATAACAAAGACGGATATGAAGCCACGTTTCCGCACCACCG